TATTCTTTAATCTTTTGCAACAAGTGCTTCAACTCTTTCTCACTTTCAGCAACCAAAGTTGTGTCATCTGCATAACATAGGATATTGATGAGCCTCTCTTCTAATTATTAACCACACAGTGTTCCCCTGTGTTTGTACAACAGGAGGCTGTTGTGTGACAGAGAAAGGTAACACTACATGGTTTTACTAGTTATCCTTCTATTTTTACAATAATAGCCTTAAGCAGTATATGTCCTATGGGACTGAGTTAGTTAATTCAGCATAATACTTTCAAGACAAAATGGGATCAAGTTTAGAAGGTCTAGCTTACAGTATAAGTTATTTTTTGTTGATATGGGATGTTGAGTGTGACCTTATGAACAACAGAACTGAACCCTGTCCCAACTTGTGCCATCCTCACATTTCCTGACACACAAAGTCCATAGCAGCAGTCTCCATGTCAATCCACTTGGTTGAGAGTCTTCTTCTCCTTCACTGACCCACCACCCTTCCAAGCATCATGTTCTTTCTCAAGGAATAGCCCCCTCCTAGCAACATGCCAAAATTTTTTTTTTTTTTAAAAAGAGGCAAAGCTTCATCACTTTGTCCCCTAAAGAGCATTCCAGCTGCACCCTCTCTAAGACATATCTGTTCGTTCTCTTGGCAGACCACGGGATGTTCAGTGCTCTTCAACACCACAGCTCTAAAGCATCAATTCTTTTTTAGTCATCCTCGTTCATCATTCAGCTCTCAGATTCATAGCAAATGATTAGAGAAAGACTGGTTCAGATGCACTTAAGTCCTCAAACTGACATCATTACTCCTCAATAATTTGGAGAGTTTACTAACTGCAGATTTTCCCAGTGAAATGTGTCTCCTTATTTTCCTGACTACTGGTACCAAGGATATTAATCCTGAGTCCAAGTAAGATGAAGTTATTGACAATACAACTTCATCTTGGCGTAAAGAGTCTGACAAATACATACAAAGTGCATAGCCAGGAAAGGGAAAAAAATTGAAGAATGGGACCTTCTAAAGGTTAAATTTTTCTGTGCATCAAAAACTTTCTAACAGGGTGAAAAGAAAACCTACGGACTGGGAAAATTGCATGGGAAAATTGCATTTTTTACATCTTTTCTTCTGGTGGATGTATAGTAGCTAGTTGGATGTCCATGTAATTATATATTCATTTGTTGTGGGGAGAGTCTGTGGTGTCATGGTTGCCGTCTAATACTGGTCAGGTGGAATAAGTCGTGGTCCTTGCTCTGATAAGACATGTGTCTGGTCTAGCCCAGGGTGTCACGGGGCCTTATCACAAGTATGGTGTGGGAACTGGCCCACAAATGGGGCTGTTGAACTGTTGTCTTTCCTCACTGTCTATTAACAAAGGGAGGCTCTGAACCATTCCACTTGAATTTCTGAATCACTGATTCTGTGAATCAAAGGCTCTCAGTGAATTGAAGACTTGGAATCAGTGACTCTTCAAATTTGTGCGCCCGTGAGTGATCAACATAGTGTTAGACTGTCAGGCTATCATTGAGTATGCATGCCAGTAGGTAGGGGTACACTGGCCATAATACTGCAAGCAGATGTCATGGGAGGCTACTAGTCTATTGCTGGATACTGTGTGGTAAATATATAGCCATGAGCATGTCTTGAACATGTCATAGATACCAACAACCTTGCTTGCTGAAAGTAAGGAAGACTTAAGGCACTTGCAACAGAAGATCAAGAACTGCAGCCTTCTGTGTGGATTGCATCTCAACACCAAGAAAACAAAAAGTCCTTACCACAAGACCAAGAGCTAACATATGATAGATGGAGAAAGGATTGAAGCTGTCAATTATTTCATTTTCCTTGGATCAGGAATCACCATCCTTGGTACTAGCAGTCAGGAATTCAGAAAATGTATTTATTGCTTTGGGCAAGTCCACTATCAGGGACCTTTCCAGAGTATTGAAGAGCAATGATGTCATTTTGGAAACCAAGTTTTGCTTAAGTGAGGTTATATAGTCTCTCAATCACCTGCTATGCATTGGAGATATGGACAATAAGCAAGGATGACAGAATAAGAATTGACGCTTTTAAGTTGTGGTGCTAGAGAAGAGTACTGATATCCATCCCAAGGAGTGCCAAGTGAACGAACAGATATATCTTGGAGAGAGTGTAGCCAGAGTACTCTTTGGAGGCAAAGATGGTTAAGTTTCATATCTCATACTTTGGACATGTACCTAGCTGAGGCTGTTCATTGGAGAGAAATATCACACTTGGAATGACGGGGGTGGGGTTGGGTAGCAAAGGAGAGGAAGCTTCTTAATGAGATAGATTGATTTTATGACTTCAGTAATGGGCTTGAGTCTTTTGGAGGTGATAAGGATGACACTGGATAATGTAAGGATTCAGGTTGGCTGGTCATAGGGTCACTCAAAGTTGTACTCAACTTGATGGCACCTAACAACAACTTGGCAAAGCCAGTCAGTGTTTTCTGGGTTCTCAGTATCATGAGATTGTAGAGGAGGGCTGCGACATCAGGCCAATAGGCTGGTGCTAGACAGTGGTGCTTTTTGAGAGTGCCAGCAGGCATGGTTTGTGCATTGGAGGACTGTTAGCTTTGGCAGTAAAGTCAGTCTATGATCCCACACACTGCACCTCCACAGGCTTTTCCAAAGCCGAATTTAAAATGTCACTTACCAACTTGCTGAGAGAGAATGCTTGAAGTCAGATGCCTGGGGAAGCCCTACCCATTATTGTGGGTGGCTATTCAGCTGGTTGGTGGTACGGAAGAGGAAAATGAGGCCCTGTCTTCTCTTCAGTGCAGGTCAGAAACTGGCAAATCATTGCAGAGCATCTACAGACTGTTCACATAAGTTCACAGAATGGCTACGCATATCTGTTTAATCATTCTTTTCTCCTCTCATTCTATGTCTGATTTTGTCCTCAATAATTTCTCCCAAATTTCAGGGTTCTATTATAGTTGTCTGAGGCCTTTTTCCTTGTCTGTTTATGTTCCTCTACGAGAGGGACAGATTTCCTAGTCTGACTAGTGCACTATCCCACTGGAAAAAAGATTTAGGATATTTTTAAGTTAAGCATATACCCACTCTTTGATATTTACAGTACAAAGTATAAAAGAAAAAATATGCAAAAGAAATTAGAACATACGTTGATAGAAATATGTATGTCAAAATATTCACGTAAGTGTATTTAGCAGCACCAAACTAGAAATAAGAAAAAAAAACCCATCAAAAAGTGAAAAGTTAAAGAAATTGTGGTCAACCCAAATAATGGAATATTACTCAGCAATTCAAAGAACTGGGCCATTGAGCCAAAGAAGCTGAAAATGTGGTGGGCTTGTAAAAGAGAGGAAGGGCTTCAAACTAGATGGATTGGCACAGTAACTACAACACTGGGCTGTGTATGGCAGAGATCTCAGGATGGTGCAGGATGGGGCAAGGATTCATTCTGTTGTTCTTAGAGTCATTATGGTAGTAGTCCACCTGATGACACCTAACAACTTTGATACAAACTACAACATAAACATATATAAAATTAATTATGTTGCATGAAAGAAAATAGACAAAAAAATCTGCTTCTATTTATACGAAAGATCTAGAAAATGCAAATATATCTAGTGAGTAAAAGCATGTCTGCATTGACTGGAATGAGATATGTCAGAGAGAAAGAATAGGTAACAAAAGAGCATGAGGTACTGTGGGATAATGAATATTCTATGATCTTGACTGGGGTGATGGATCCACTTTTAAATGCATATGTCACAACATATCAAATTATATAATTTTAAGTATTTACAGTGTCTTACATGTTAATTATACCTCTCTAAAGTTTTAAAATGTATATAACTAGTTTTACACATCAACACTTTAATAATAGTCATATCTGGTTAGAGAAAAGAATAAGAATGTTTTAAATTTTTATCCTCTGAGTATAACTGTTTGCTCACTACTCTGCAACAATTATATATTTTGTAATTACCTGTTATTTCAAATTTAAATTTTAATTCTTTTAAAAGCAAAAGACAGTAGAATAAAATTCAAAAATGGTTTCTATTTATTCTTCCTACTTCTCTACAGTATATGATTTCTTCAGAATAAAGACAAGTATTATATTTAAACATTAAAGAGGTATGCTTTTAAAGAAAACATTGCTTGTTTCAGACTCTTGTAAATTCATCCACTATACTAATAATTCTTTCAGCTTGAAATTTGCTGGCTAGTAACTGGGAAGTCAATTTCTAAGTATCACAGAAGAATAAATGTGATTCCCCCCCCCAAAAAAATCTATTTCTCTTTCTAGCCTCCTTCACCAACAAGCCAGGGTGGAAGAGTAAGTACTGATAGGTCCTTACTTTAACAAGGTATAGTGACTAATATTTTGACTCACTCTTTCTCCTTCTCTTTGTCTTCGAGTGGGATAACTCACAGATGACCCTCCAGTGGATTTTGTGAGGCTCTAAATTGCAAGGGAGAGGATTGCCCAACTTTCTCCCGTGGAGCTGCTGGTGGATTCACACTTCAAACCACCAGAAAAGCTCTGCCTTTACGTAAGCAGTCTCCAAGGACTATGCCATCATAGCTCCAATATCTAGACAGCATTTTTCATTTAGGTGAAACAGTATGGAGTTGTGTTACTAATGTAAAGGTTTGAATCCATTAGTAACTCCAGCAAGAAAAGTATGGACAATCTCCTCCTACGGATTTACAGCCTCTGCAAACATCCTAGAGAGTCAACTGCAAGTTGGTTTGGACTTAACTGCAATGAATTTTTTGAGAAGGATGTGTAATTTTAACTTCTCGACTTTCTGAAGCCAAATCCTACCACTGCCCCAACTCGTGCCTAGTGCCAACGCCCCCTGGTGGGCCCCTGTGTCCATAGAAGGGACAGGCCTGTGACGCAAATATGGTTACCTAGGGCAACCTTGAGAATCTGGCCTGATGCCCTTGGTGCCTGCCTCACTGCATGCCTAGACTGCCTGACCTCACTTTTCCCAATGCGCAGGAGCCATGCTGACCTATTTCTTGGTCCTTTCTAAGCACATCAACACCTCGCTGGTGTCCCTGCGCCGAGGGTGGCGAGACTTTGTGCTCCCACCACTCTGGGCCTCTTGGCGCTCCTCGGGTCCCTGGGGCGCTTCTTGGGCCCCATGCCGCCGTCTAGCCGCCGCTGCCTCCTCCAGGGAGCCCCCCACGGTCGCCACTCCCTCTCGGGTACGCCAGAACTTCCACCCGGACGCTGAGGCTGCCATCAACCGCCAGATCAACCTCGAGCTCTACGCGTCCTACGTGTACTTATCCATGGCCTATTACTTCTCCAGGTATGATGTGGCCTTGAACAACTTCTCCAGGTATTTTCTTAACCTGTCCAGGGAGGAAACAGAGCATGCAGAGAAGCTGATGCACCTGCAGAACCAGAGGGGAGGCCGGATCTGCCTGCAGGATATTAAGAAACCCGACCACGATGACTGGGAAAATGGTCTGAAAGCTATGGAATGTGCTCTGAGCTTGGAAAAAAATGTGAACCAGTCCTTGTTGGAATTGCACGCACTGGCTTCAGACAAAAGTGACCCCCATTTGTGTGACTTTCTGGAGACCAACTATCTGAATGAGCAAGTGAAATCAATCAAAGAACTAAGTGACTACATCCACAACTTGGTTAAGATGGGGGCTCCAGATTCTGGCCTGGCGGAGTACCTTTTTGACAAACACACCCTTGGGAGTGAAAAAAAGCAGAATTAAACCTCATGGCTGTCTTCTAAGACTCAGTCAGGTGTCTCCTGCTTGCGTTCCCTTTAAACCTCACCTTTATATTCTTCCATTAAACGGTTCCTTAATAAAGTGCTATGTACAGAAAATTAATTTATCCCCATGGTCCCCATGGTAACAGGGATTTAATGGCCAGATCAAGATACTTTTTTATTCAACCTGAAAGGTAGATCTGGATATTATTATAAAAAGGAGGGTGAAAGCATAGTGACTTAAAAGTACATGCAAACTAACAATCTCAAGTTGCAAATATATGTAATATATACATATATATGATATGTATGCTATTGTTAGGTGCTGTTCAGTCGCTGTGACTCATAGTGCTCATATGAACAACAGATTTGAACTCTGTCCTATCCTGTGCCATCCTCACAATCTCCAACACCTGCAAGCCCACTACTTCAGTCACCATGTCAGTCTACATGGTTAAGGATCTTCTCCTTCGACATCCCTCCATCTTCCCAAGCATGAAGTCCCTCTCCCATTGAAGAGCTTCTCCTAGCAATGTGTTCAATGTGTGTGAGACAAAACTTTCATCATCTTTGCCTGCAAGAAGCACCCAGGCAGCACATTCTCCAAGTCATGTCTGTGTGTTGTTTTGGCAGACCATGGGATATTCAGCACTCTTCTCCAACACCACATTTGAAAAACAAATTATTCTGTCATCCTTAGCCATTGTCCAGCTTTCAAAGAAATAACAAGTGACTAAAAAAAATCATGGCTTGATATAGATAACAGATGATAGATAGATGGATAGATAATCTAATATATCTATTCGGAAGCAGGAGTGGCATCCACTTCCTAACAATATGCCTCTGGAAACTCTATGAACTTTGATAAATGTTGATAGTTGTAGAGGGACTTCAGGCCTTTTGTTCATACGTTATCTATGAGTTGTGCTCGACTTGAAGGCTCATCATCATCAAAATATCTATATTGATATACATTAATATATGTATATAGATACACATATATTAATATCTATAATAATAATAGGTATATTATTACCTATAGTGTTAGGTACTATAGAAATTAATAGATTTACTGCTTCTGAAAACTGACTAGAATGTCACATATGAGTCAGTTCTGACTTGGTAGAACTCAATAATAACATTATAAAAAATACATATGCAGAATGTAGTAATAACTTTTACCTTTCTCAAAGTGTGTTCCAAGAAACACTAACGATTTTTAATTTTGTAGTAAAATAAATTTGAGACAAGCTCCTTAATGTACAAACTCGGGCCTTGGAAAGTCACAATGTGTTTTAGTTTTTAAAAGTTGTGGGAATCTTGTGATTAAAAATAACTAACAACACAAAAACTTGAATTCATTTCATGTGGTTCAGTTTGGAAACTTATTTACTCTCTTGTGTTGTTTTGTTTAAAATAATGTTACTAGAAAAACCAGTATGGAGCTCTAACAACTTTGTAGTAAAGAGTTATGCTGCCAACCCAAAAGCAAGTGGTTCAAATCCACCAGCTGCTCCACAGAAGAAAGGTGGGTGATCTCCTATTGCATGATTTATAGCCTCTGAAAACCCACTGGCAGATCACTAATGAGTCTGTTCCAGCTTGACACCACACAACAACAACACTGGAACAGTCAACATCTGAGTCTTGATTCAAAAGGCTTCTGAGGTGTGTTATACAGCTCGCTTTTTATAACATAAAAAAAGTGAATGACTTCAGAAAACACCTTATGTAACCTATAATATGGAGGAAAAGAATATTGGTGTAGAAAGGCTCTGGAATGAAGGACACACCTTGTTGGGCAGATGATTTCTTTAGAGGAGGTTGAGAGATAGATACATGGGAGAACATTTAGTGAACAACCATTGGGGTAGTCTAGAGCACTAGGTGGTGTTTGAAAAACTGGCTTGAAGGCATCAAGTGGTGAGAAGGTGGTGAGGAGAGGACCTTGAATTTAATTCAGTGAATTACAGCAGTGCCTCCAAGGGTTATCTTCAGAAGCATATATAGTAACAGTTGAGCAGTAAGAAACTTAATCTGGTATTATAAAAAAAAAGCCTCACAAAACAATTTTAATAACTGTATTAATTTCAGTCCCCAGAGAAGCAGGCATCAAGGTAGGATTAAATATGCAAGAAATTTATCAGGAGAAACAGAAAAGCTTCTGCAAGAAAGTGGAAAGAACCTGAGAGGAAACAGGGAGAAGAGTCAGTTTCCATGTAAACGTAATCCCTAGGAAAAGAAGGTTGTGCATAGTATTAAGGAAACTTCTGCAGAGCTCATGGGGAAACCTCAAGCTAAAATTGCTTGTTATAGAAATCCCAAATCTACCAGAAACAGAACTGCCCAAGTGCCTTTGCAGCACTTAGCTATTGACTGGGAGCAACTCAGAGGAAGATTTGCTTTTAAACAAACTAAGTGTTGAATCGATTTCAGAGCACAGTAGATAGGGACCTTGGCAAATTGTGCTCCCTTCATTCTGAAATCTGAGAAGCACATGTGCAAGGCTGCTACCTTGCATTCTACAAAATGTTATAGATTATAATACCGTACATTACAAAATGAACCACATGAATTTTCTGCTATTAAATAAATGTGACTTAGTCTAAAAAATTATTGTGTTGGTATAAAGTCACAATATACTACCTTTAAAGTAAGCATATTACAAACCAGAATTATGCTATGACCAGGAATTGGGACATTATGGATATATAGCTAGATATGTAATATGACTGAAAATATATTCACCTGCAGATGAAAATAGATGATCTTTTAAATAATAAAACTATCTTCACACATACACCCTACATATTTCCTTTCAGGAAGGGAGGTCTGTTCCTCCAGGGATGTAACTTTCTAATCTCTCTCTACTATTTTACGGTCCAAAAAACCCTTACATTCACTATTTTATTGTTTTGTTATAAATTTCATTTTATGAATGTATTATATTAAAAAGTTAGAATATTTAAAGAAAAGAATGGAAATAAGATTATTAGAATCTAGTAAAAGTGTTTTCATTTTATAGGATTTTTTAATTTTTTATTATTGTAACTGATTGGATGGAGGGAGTTACGGAAATGGTGTAGGAGAGTAAAGTTGACGAGCATTAAACAAGGGTGACTGGAGAATGAAGGATTAAAAAAGAACAATCTCAGCAGGAGATTTACTAAGTGAAGTAAGAATACATAATGGCTTGGGAGTTTTATTATGCTGATCAATGTCACTATATGCTCTATCCATAAGTAGACCTATTTTGCTGCCCAGGATTCCTGCTATATTATAAAATTGCATCTTCAGTTTTCCCACACAAGTGTTTTTCAAACTGAAAACTGTAACCCATAGAGTGGAGTAGTATGAAATTAGTCAGTCAATATGATATAAGTGAAATAATGATGGCATGTGAGATATTGTGTTGTCTCATAAAAGTCTAGTTTCCGATGTGTGCATGGTTCTATATTTACATTCTGAATAGTGATATATCTTATCCTACATTTCTGTCAAGAGTTTAATAGTCCATTCTAGAGTCTTTCATTTATCTTCAAATCCAAATCACTCAGCACTACTGTCAGTTGATTTCACTAGTTAGAAATAGTCACATGAGAACTGCACATTTTCCCAATAATTTCTTTAACCATATATTTAAATCTATAATTACATAATGGGTTCTCTAAAAGAACCAAAACAAAACAACAAAAAAAACCCTAAAAAACAATATTTGGAGCATGCATATTGCCTCCCGAGGTCAGTCTTCTACCATGTCCTGAATCTCAAAATACCTACATATTTCTAGCCATAAGGACGCTAGATGCCACTCAGTTGATTTCTATTGATAGCAAAATTATGTAAAAGAAAATAAATCATTATCTGGTCATGTGCCATTCTTTCAGTCAAGGACAATACAGCAAGTATTTTCTCCTTTGCATTAGCAATTTTGTCTTAGTCCTATTGGATGATTCTCATGAGTATATAAATACGGTTTTATTTAGCCTTTTTTCCAAAAATACTACCATCTTTGTATGTTATATTGGTTTGTATACAAAATTCAAATACATTGTATTTTATTCATATGTATTGTGTCTCACATTACTTCATTCATATTGTTTCATATGATCATTTGCATACACCACGCTTTACACAATCACCTTTGATCTATGCCCACTATCACCCTGTCTTTTCAGGTCCTCACTGAATCTTTCCTAATTCCTTAACTCCCTGCCTCTATCCACCAGACTCTGTGACCCTGTGATTTTCCCCCTTCCTTCATTCTCCCTGTCCTCCTCCCATCCCCTCTTTGTATTTTTACACACATCTTATTAATTATCCTTCTATTTCTGTCATAATGGTCTTATGCAGTCTTTGTCCTTATGAGACTGAGTTAGTTCATTTCAGCATTGCTGTCTAGGCTATCTCATGTTTTATACTATATATAAAGTCCTGAGTGTTGCATAGTATTCCATTGTGTGAATGTACCACAATTTCTCATTTATTTCATCATTCAGTTCACCAGTCTTTTGTTGATGGACATTTGGGCAGTTTCCATGTCTGTACAATTGTGAATAATACTCTTAGGAACATCAGTGTATAAATCTCCATCTGTGTTTCAGTCCAGTTTTCCTCCGGATGTATCTCTAGCAGTAGAATAGCTGAGTAATATAGAATTACTATGTTCAGCCTTTTGAGAAAATGCCAAACTGCCTTCCAGAGTTGTTATACCATTTTACTATCCCTCCAACAGCATGAGAATTCCAATCTCTTCACATCCTCTCCAATATTTATTGCTTGCTGACCTATTAAACATTACCACTGCTACTGGGGTGAGATGGTATCTCATTGTGGTTTTGATTTGCAGCTCTCTTATTGCTAGTTATTTTGAGCATTTCTTCATGTGTCAGTTGGCTATCTGAATGTACCGTTTCTAAACTCATTTTCCTTCCAGCAAAAACATTTTTCTTTTATTTTCTACTTAGTTATGTTTTATAATATTTCTTGGGAAGTTGTTCT